GGGGGGAAGGAGGGGAAGCACTTAACAGGAGTGGAAGCTCAGTATGAAAAGAAAAATTATAAAATATAAAAAAAGGGGGTTGTTCTCTACAAGTCAGTCAGCAGCTTTAGTCCAACCTAAAACCAAGAAGCATCATACAGGCATCTTGGTAGAAAATTAAAAGCTTTTTGTTAAATAAATGTTTGTTAGAGGTTCTATGTGACTGCTTGTATAGCTTTGTTCTTCAGTTCTCTGCAAGCGTTAACAGTTGTTTACCATCCACCCAATAGCTTTCTCTACAACACTTCCCTTCTACTCCTCTGAACACTTATTTCAAAACATCTCTACAAAACTTACAGGAAAATAGCATAAGATGTCATAATAGCTTAGTCATGCGATTACACAGTCCTTTGAAACAGTCTAATTCCAAGTGTTAATGGAATAAGATCAACATGATTAAAATCTAAGAGATCTAGCCATGAATAAAAGTCAGTTTACAACTGCTCAAAAAAACCCCAAGCCCCCAGCCTAAGGTAATTTTAAAAATAAACATCTGATGCAGAGTCAGCAATCTAACAAATGTATTACCAGAAAGCAGCAACACCACTAACTATATTACATACAAACCCATCAGCTTTTAAGGAATTGAAGATTTCTGACAGAATTCAAGACACTGAAAAATGCAAGTATTTTGCTTTCAGTAAACCTGGAAAATGGTCAATAAAATATACCCTAAAAATGCACGTTGTAAATGTAACTCAAAGGATCAAAAATTAAAAGTTTTCCCCATTTTCTGTTATTTATTCATTCCATTATTCCTCTGAAATGCACAAATATCATTGGCGATGTATGCAGCTGAGCACCAGAATAAAGAATTCTCTTTGCAATACTACAGAATATTTTTCAAATGTCTCTTTTCATGGTTAAAGTATTTTAAATCTTAGACTGAGAACAAGGAACTAAAATTTTAACTGGTTCAACTAACAGTTCCGATTAGAGCCCTCTCAATCACAAGCAACATCAAAACGAATTTTGTGTTTCTCCCCAACACAACTTGAACTTTAAATTTTGCTTCCTATCACCGATCATTTTCTTACTCCATAACACAAAGGGAAGTAGCTGTATCTCTACATATATCATATGTAGGAAGAAACATGCACTTACCAAGTGAACGTAAGGCACAAAGTATCCAAAAAGCGCAGCTGGGATCCCAAAAGCCCAGATTCGGTAACTGACAACTTTGAAAACGGAGAAATTGCAAATCTTTTTTTCAGAAGGAAATCTGAACTTTCCCTTCTTTCCTCCCTCCTTGTCTTTGTCGTTGGAAACAAGGGGTTTGTATGTAAAGCCAGCCAGGAACAGAATAAACATAAGGATGCACAGGACCCGCAAGGTGTTGCATAGTCCAACAGAATCAATCAAAACTCTCAAGAGGAAGGGCAGTGACACTGTGAACAAGCTGCTGCCTGCAGTGACAATGCCATTTACTAGTCCAAGACGTTTCTTGAAATAGTGCCCAAGAATGACCAAGGATGGCTGGTATGCAAATGAGCAGCCACAAGCAAATAAGATTCCGTAGGTGAAATATAGAGGTTCAATGGTGCTATATCAAAAGAAAAGAGGAAAAAAAATATATCATTAGCGTTTTGTACATCACCGTATGCTCACATTCACCTACTGCATGCAAAAGACAGCTTTTCAATGAATTGACATACTTTACAGAAGTGAGTTAAGAGTCTGTATCTACTTGTAGTTGAAACACTGTGTCACTTTACTTCAGCAGTTAGTCTATTTTCTTCCCCTGAAAATTTCATAAAATTCACTGAACAGGTAAAAAAGCAAAATTATATGAGTATAATGACACCAAATAGTCTGAATAAAAGAAAGTTTTAAAAATCATTGTGAGGATTAATTAGTTAAATGTAAGTTCAACCATTGCTGGGGTTTTTGTTTTCTCTTTTCCAAAGAAAATTATATTGTTTTGATTTACACATTTCTTCACTGTGCTAGCAGTTCAAACATAATACTGGACAGTCCTTATGAACCCAGAAAAATCAAGTATTTACATAGCTATTATGAAAACATAATAGCAAAAGTAGTAAGCATCATTAATAATGAAAAGTAAAACAAAAATACTGTCATGTTTTGGTAATATATTATTAGAAAAAGCTAGAAATTTAGGTATTAATTTAGACAAATAATCCCCTTTTTATTAAGTATTCTAAATTCAGTGTTTTGATCTAGGTATTGGATATGCCAAGAAAGAAATAGGAAAAAGCCTTAATAAGGAATGAAACATTTCAGCTCATATTAAGGAGAATCTTCATCACAAGGTTCTCTCTCACATCTACTATACAACTGAAATTAAGCAGAGCCATTGTATGATGTCATGGGAAGAACTGTGACATTAAAAGGTACTTGTAAAAGAAACCTTAACAGTAAGAAGTAACCATGTTAGTATAATTAATTAGTATTATAGGAGTAATAAGTCAAATGAGATATATTTTTTTTACATTTAAATGGAGTCAATGTGTGAGAAATATTTTTATACAAGATTTCTGAGGTGGCACACGGTGTTGGTTTTTTTTAATACAGTGTTTTCAGTGAACCATGGGCTCTTTTATATCACCTAACAGCTGCTTTTAAAGCACTTAGAGAAAACTGTTCAACCTGTTAGCCAATATATTAACTTTTTTAAGGAGGATGAATGCTTTATGTACTGCTTTTCATCATAGAATTTTACCTGCCAGCATCCTTGTATAACAAAATACATTCCACAAGTTTCGCATGCAATTACAGAAATTCTTAAGAAATAGTATTTGACTAACAAAGATCTGACACCAGGAAGCCTAGTTTTGTGTATTATTGTGAAGAAGAATATTTGTGTAACAATATTGTTGTTTCCTACATTAAACTATTTCTAAAACTGATTATACACAAGGTAAGCCAGCAGAAACAACAAAAGGGGGAAAGATCGATTACCTTCGTCAACTGAAAATAACCAGAAAAAATTAAAAGAGAAGTTATAAAATGAGAGGAGGAACATAGTACAGTAAGGACAGAGAACTTTAGCTTCCATCTGTAGGTTCAAAGAGTTTGCAGCATGACATATAGTAAAATACCTTCCTGCATTACAAATATCCTTACATCTCAGCTACTTAAGAGATAGAATTTATAGTACTAAATCAGTATGTAACAAAAGCAATAAAACATATTTACATTTATCTACTGTATAATATTTTACTTTTAGAACATTGAATTCTGAAAAGTCAGTTTCTGAAATATACTCCCTCAATTAACTGATAACATCACAGACATAAATCGTTTTAGTTCAAGTAACATAATGAAACACCAAGAATACACATTCACATGGCATGTACTCTTAACAAGAATTCACCCTTCCCCTCAAAGTGGTCGTCACATTCTAAAACAAAATTAGAATCAGCGAAAATATTTTTAAGACCTTTACAGACTAACTTCCTTTTGCATGCCTCTTCTGTGCGCTTGTTCCACTGGATATCAGGGAAACACAAGGATGATAGCATTTTGTTCAAAGGACGAAAACGTCTTTCCTTTAACAAGAAGTTTAATTTATAACAAGACTGGTTTATTATTCATCACTTAACACACTACTGAGAAGGAAGACAGACTTTTCCAAGATGAATTCTTCTAGTTTTTACCTCATCTGTGGTAACAAGCCTCTTAAAACATATCAGGAAGTGGGGGTTTTGTTTGTTTGCTTTAATAAAATGAATTAAGGAAAATATTTGCATTTGGATTAACCAAAAACAAAATAAAAATTGGAAACTTGCTAAAGTAACAAGAAAACAAAGCTTTCTTTTTCCCATAAATATGTTATTCCAAGAATAAATATAACCATTAGTCTCCATACCTAAGACAGAACTATTTGTCTTCTCTTCCTGTAAATCTGTGGATGTGTTTTCACATTAGGACATATGCCCAGACTAGACATATTAGCTCAGGCACACACAGTGTGGGTATTTATCCATCCAGATCACAAACAGCTCACATCTACTTGGTTCAGAGTACAGGCAGAGAAGGCACATTTTCACAAGCCTATCTGTACGAATACATTTTCACCCATGTAGTAAAGTCTTCTGAATTTTACTTTTGATTGTTCCTGTACTTAGACTGCTAAGGGTGGGAAAAAAGCTGAATAAGAATTAGAGGGTAGCTGTGGCTTATTTTACCCTATATTCACTAACCAATTTCTGCTGATGACTACAATAAATGAGTAAGTTTCCTGTTTCCTCATCTTCTAATGGGCATATCCAACAAATCAGCTGCTCTTGAGCTTCTTAATATTTATTCTGCAGAAGTTACGGGAATGTAAAAAATGCAGTGTAATCTGGAGGAAGAAAAACACTTAACTACTGTTCAAGTTTTTTCAACAAAGGAAAGAACTGATATTTTCTTAATAAAGCCAAGAAGCCCTAAGTATATGTCATTACACCAACGTTTTCACTATCTCTGCTGTGTTTGACAATTGGAAAAAACAGTTTTAAAAGCAGGGGGAGAAACAATGTTTCTATAACTACTAAAAACCAGCATACATCAAGCAAACATACAACAGGTTTATCCAGCTGTTGATCTTATAGCATTACTCCTGCTTTTGATGTATTTGTAAGGAGCACTGCTTACTGCTTCATATTCTGTTGATAGGATCAGCATTACCTCTGCACTGTAAAACTGATAAAATAATTCAAATGTAAAGAAAACCATTTTTTTACCTTACAAAAGAACTTGAAAGGAGTCCAGCGAACCCTACTGCAGCTCCAACAACAGCTACTTTTCGGCAACCAAACAGGTCTGTGAATATGCTTACTATTGGAGAACAGAAGAAGACCATCCCCATAGAAAGAGAACTCACCCATGCTGCAAAATAGAAGAAGACAGCATTTTAGAAGACCAAGTGATTTAAGCTTTCAGCTTGTGTTTTAGCTCAGCAACATAAAATTTTAGATAGAAGTTGGGTAACAATTTGATAACCATTCTAAAAATATTTAAATATCTTTTAAAATATATTTACATGACATGGTAGAAAAGCCTGCCCAATTTACATAATCAACTAATTTAGACTTCATCAGCTCAAGGAATGCAATTAGCTACAGAATTTATTATTACTTTGGCTTTTTTTAAGGAAAAAAAAAATCATCCAGTAATTAACCTAGTATTCAAACTGGTGACTAGGCCATTAAAAGATACCTTTGAGGCTCCATATCCATTCTGACATCAATTAGCACATTTCACTTGATTTAATTCTAAACTTTAGTGACATTAAACTGTTAAGTTTGCTTTAAAAAAATTAACAAAGTTTTAACTTAATTACATAGAACTAGATCATATTGAACATTAATAATCAGTAAACAATAATAGGCTTTTATACTGTAATATACACATTAGGAATATTATTTTACTTTAATGAACTTGAGCTAGTACAACCATTTCCATGTATAATGGGAAAATGTTACTACATCTGATACTGCTCCAGCTTTACAGATATTGTTAAAACTGTACTTTGTTTATAAATGAGTCTTTAGATCATTAAGATTCAGTCCAGGTGAGTGAACTAAGTTTTCAGCCGCAAGTGTGTTTTTTATTTCAAGTGTACCAAACATATCTTTAAATAACCTAGGTAAAAGAGAATTTGATTAATTTTAAATTAAAAGTCAACTTTCTGCTTCACTTCACACAGGTGTTCAGAACCACATAATTTTCCTGCTATCATCTAATCGTTCTTTCAAACGGGTATGACTGATGTTACACCCAACAGTTCTCCCAGGGCATAACGGTAGATCAAGCTGCTGTAGCACAACAGTTACAAATATATTCAGGTGGGTAAAGGTCACCATCTATTTGGGGGGGTGAGGGGGTGGGAAAAAGGCCTAAACAGGTAGTCGAAAGAGCTGCTGATGTAAGATGCATTGGAAAAAAAAATATTTTAACTTTTTTGAATTATACAGAAGATGAAAGGATTCTCTCAACCTGGAATAGATTTCGGTATTTGTAACTGGAATTATGTTTAGAATACCTTTCCTAAAGAGACAGATAAACAATTGTGATTGTAATAAGGGCAAATAAAATAACCCAGAAAAAAAAATATAACCAAGAGACCAAATAAGAACTATTTGCAAGTATATCTATCATACCAAGACTCAGAAGTAGTGTTGTTAAAGCGCCAATGAGCCCTACACACTGATGAAGACCCCATTGTGGAAGGCACTAAAGAAGACAGAGCAAAACAAACAAGCAAACAAAAAAATATTGTTTCTTCAAAGAGTTTACAATGTAAATGAAAGAAAAGAGAACAGATGTCTAGAGAAAAACAGAAATGAGAGCACAAGAAATAAGACCTTTCTTTTAGGGCAAACAATCTCAATAAACCATGACCTAACTGTTTGGGGCAGGGGGCCTGTTACTGGGGCTTTTTGAGCATGTGATAAATATAATGGAGTTTCAAGGTGCAATCTCAAGAAGAATGAGGTAGTTTTATGGGTATTTCCTGCATTTCCTTGGTATGACTAACCCAAACAAGATAGCCCCTTCCAGCCCTGCACATCTGCAGCAGAAACATGAGCTGTATGAAGGAAGAGCACAAAAAAATAGGAAGAACAAGGCCCCTGTGACACTGACTGAAAGACAAAGACCAAATCTATGAAAGATCTGTCCTTTCTCTTCTTCTGCAGTTAAGGAAGGCTCAAATGCACCCTGACCAGCCATAACTTAGAGATTTGCCCCATTTTACAGTCTAGATGGTTCCTGATGTTGCAAGACATTATACCAACTACAACTTATAAGCAGGAGTCAGAGGGAGCACATGCTCTCTTATAGTCTGGAGATCTGTCAGTTGCAAAGCTTTTAAGTAGTCCAAATTGTACAAGACTCCTCATCTCTTTATCTTTCCCAGAGCGAGCTGTATAAAACCTGCAGTTCTACTGTCCAAAGGAAAGTACAAACACTAAGAGGTAGACTGTCCATGACCTCCTGTCACATCCCCCACACCTCCCCTAAATAATTGGTAGTTCCACCACCATGAACAATCCTCAGCATCTCTGCATGACTTGAAGGGTAGCACTAGGAATCACAGAGTACCTATGACAGCTGGGGTATCTGCAAGGCCAAGAGAAAAGGCAGCTAAATCTTGAGAAGTGGGCATTACAAGAATCAATGTTATCAGATTCACAGTGGTATGAAGGTATCAAGGAATGGTTGAACCTCCTGCCAACCTTCCTGCCAAGGTATGAGAAGACAAAGCAACTGTGGCACTAGACAAGCCCACCAGAGGTTACTGGTTATGAGAATCCAATCTCACATGGACAGATACATGCACCCCATTCATGGAGACAAACAGGTAGAGAAACTGGGCAACAGACAACTGAAATAGTTTAAATAGGTTGCCCAGAGTCAAAGACTGAATCACTTCAGAGCCACAGATACGAGTCCAGCAGTCCTAATTTCCAGTTAGCACAGGCTGTGATTCAATTAGCATTCTCCTTAGTGAAATCAAACAGTTTACAGTAGGGTTTAATGGCTTATACAGCTAATAAAATAATTGGAATATAAAAGCCTGAAGTAAAAACATTCAGCTCAAATTACATTGTTAAAACATGCTGACTTTGTCTCTTCATACTTCCAGGTACTAATGAAAGAAATATGCCTTTCTTATTACTTGATTCTCTCTTCATTGTTACAGCAATAATAGGCAAAGCCTAGAATAGAAGAAAGTTTCCCCACTGATTTTCAACACAACAGGCAGTTAAGAGGAAGGACAATGTCCTTATCTGAAGCATTTCAGAACAGCACTGCAATTAAACTGCAGAAGTGGGAGCCCATCCTTTACCATTATCTACCTAATGGAAACTGAAGCCCTTTAAATTACAACTTTAAGTTAATATGAGGCTCTTGTGTCCTACTGAAATGCAACGTAAAGAGATGTTGTTGGCTTATCTTGTTTGAACAGCTTTATTTGTTCTTTCTTCTTGAAAAGAATGTTTTTCAAGTCTAACTCCACATGTATGCACAGTTCAAGAAAATTTACTGTATTCATCCTTCATGAAGAAATGTAGCACCAAAAAGAATTAAAATATAAACAGAAGAGCACATGTGTAATTATTAATTTCCTTAAGGCAAATAATTCTTGCTGCAATATCTTGATCCTATAAAGAAATTGATGGCCACAAAATATATTCAATAGAGCTAAATAATTTTCAATTTTGCTTTGCTCCAGTAAGTTTTCAAGCATTCTTACTCTTTTTCAGTCAGTATGAAAAAGGTACAATTAATTGTGTTCCACATTTTTTAAATAGAAATTACAAGAACTGTCCCAAATAAGTAATATGAAAAGTTACAATTGCAGCTTGCCAGAATAATGAGAGCTCTCTAAAGCAGTTATTACATATTAATTAAAACATTTCTCCTCCAGGCTATTGGCCGCTTTCCTGGCCACAAACTGGCTATATTCCAGAGCTTCTAATTCAGATACTAGTACTAATTGCTACATATAACTGCATTCATATTCATACACAAAGAATTCTGATTGCCATAGAAGAAAAGCTATTCCTACTTTAAGGACTTAAACCTTAAGGCACAGGAAGTTAAGAATTAGCTCCTCAAAACATGTAATTGCAGAATAATCAATACCCAAGCTTCCCTAGAAGATGGAACAGAAGGTATCCTTAAGATAAAAATATGAGACCAGAGAGCCTATTGGTAGCATCTATACTGAAAAGTCTTTCTGTGCCACTGAAACATAGCATAGATTACAAAAAAACCAAACTTTATTATAACTAAAATTATTCCAAAATGAAAAGTCACAGCTACATGTTTTCTTACCAGTTCACTATAAATTTATGTACTTCAGCTATCATCTATCTTCTCATATTTCATTTTCCTATTCAAAAGTCTATAGCAATGAAACTATGCCATAGAAATATGCTGCTGTTTTACCATGAGTTTTTAAAAATCAGCCTTATTTTAAATAGTCATTTGACTTCAGCTATAAATACAGTATTTAATATCTGAGCCTTTACAATCATTCCCATCCTCACAGCTAGATTATGTAATACACATTTATCTACGAAACTATGAACCAAGTTGCTAAATGTTTTGGTTCATTCTTTAGACTCAAGCACTAGGAGTTACAAGACCACAGAAAATAAAGCATTAATACCACATCACATTTGAATGCTTTATAGTGCATAAATTTAAATAAAGGCTACTCATCCATTGCATTCTTCTTTACAATCAAAACTTTTCTATGCATTACAGTAAGAATCTTATCAATTTTATCTTCACAAGTGTCTTTCAAGTGCTTGGCTTAACACAGTAATAACACTCTTCATACTTCAATGAACTACAAGAATTTTTCTAATATCTTCCCCCAAGATTTTTCTGGTTGAAACACAGAACAAAAAGCTACTGTCTGGAATACAAGTGGTATGAGGCAAGTGAAGAAAATATTTAAATTGAGGAGTCAAAATCAACTCAAAAATATTTTGTTTCCCCACATTAAAAAAAAAAAAAAAATCAGATGTGTGTTTGTGTTGCTCATGCAGCAAACCAAGACAGCAGTAAAATTACAGTTCACTGAATAGCTTGCCAAATAATCTGTTTGGCACTATACATACTAAGACAGATGCACAGCCTGTGGAAAGTGAGAGCAAGCTTTCTACATTTAATACAACAAATTCTCACATGCAAAGATCTATAGCTACACTGGTTTTAAGCACTTGCAACATAGACGGGTCAACCAAGCCCTAAACCAGTACCTCTGCTCACTGTCAGACATTCTTCCTAAAAATCAGTTCTCCCACCATCTCAATATGTAACCAGTACAGTAGTAGTTCAGGCCATACACACTGCTACTACTTTTAA